AACCGCAGTAGTCCAAGATACCAGGTGTTTAAATTGATGCGGTGCTCGTCAGAATAAGTCTCCATGAGACCCCAAATTCATCTGGAAGGCGCATACCATGGGTGGGGATTGACAATAGGATCCATACTTGTGTTTAAGCAGTGATATGATACAGGGGCTTTACGAGCAAAACCATGCGACATGGAGACAGTCTTCCATCGCAAAACCCGGAGTCGAGAGATACCGCCGTCCCCTTATGTTGATAGGGTGTTTTTTAAGCCACAAGTCGTCATGTAGAAGCTTTGAAGACATGCCCATAGTACTGTACCTGGTAATATGATAAGCATGCACCGCAATAGCATTCAAGTTCGAAGCAAGGATCCAAGCTGGTCCCGAGCAGTAGTAGTAAAAAGCTGCAGGCTTAGTTCGCCCAGACTGTAGGGTGGATTTGCATAAGAATTACATACATGTTGACTTGCAAGTTCCAGAAGCAATGCCATTTAAACTTTTACAGTTAATTGAAAGACAGTGCACACACATGCAAAAAGATATGGCTCTAGTCTATCACCATCTCTTCTGAAATCAGTGCGGGCATACTCTACACGCTCGTGGCAAGGATACACGTGTTCCTTTCTCATCATTTGTTATCAGCAAGGTTAACTCTTCTCATGCTCGCGAACAAATGCTGCAAAATGTTTGCAAGGAAAAATTCTAGTATATGGAATGACAGAAACCGATGCCTTACCGATTTGGTTTGGAGCATGGCGCACTTGCACGTGTTAAACCACCCTCGTATTTCAAAAGTGGTTTTCGCCACACAACGTGCGAAAATACTGCAAATATGGGGGTCCCCCAGAGCGTTCCACCCTCTCGATTCGGAGTATCGAGTGGTAGTTCGTTCGAGTCGAGCTCTGTGTAAACTCCGGTTCCCATTTCATGGATCCGGCTAGACTGCAATCGAAGGAGTATTGCTCCATTGATGGAATATCGAAGCATTTCATTTGCAATTATCGCCGTTTGGTCCTTGTGTGACTATAGTATGATGTAAAGGGCAATCAGCGGGCTTCCCCAAAACTTCAGTAAGCATCTTCCCCACAAAGGTGCGCGGGCCCGAAGCGAATGCTCCAAAATGCCATATTGGGGCCGTAAGAATTGCAATAGGGTGTTGGGGAATAACAAAGTTTCATTGCAATTCGGGTTTTCGAGTTGCCTGCCATCAGAGATTCCTCTCTACCACCGATAGTTTGATACAGATCCTCGAGCTAATGCAGATTAAAAGACACAGGTTGTGGAGACACGACCATCCTTGTTGCGGTAAAGCGTGTCAATCATTTTGTCTAGCTTGTCGTGGTTTGATCGAAGACTGTGCTCCAGGTGGGCGCTGCAGTGCGGGACAGAGGGTGCTTTGCTCCCTCATCATCCGTCTGGCTTTAGCAGATTCCTTCTGCGTGAACTGTGGCTGCCTTAAATGGTCGGCCCTCGAACCGCATGACTCGCCTAAAGTGTCCGAGTGTGTGTGCGCCGAAATGGCGACCATGTGTAGACAAGGGCCCGTGGTGTATCTACTTTGCTGTGCCATTGATGAAGCAGGGATCGGCGTGTTACAATGATGCCGCAAGCGCATGCGGTAGTCCAGTCAGTCCGGTTGTTGAAGCCTTGCTGCGCACGACATGCCTGTCTGAGAGGTGGGGTTCTCGCTCTTGATGAGCCGACGACGAATCTGGATGCTGCCAACATCCGAGGGCTGGCTGAGGCACGGGCTCATCTGAAGCTTCTTTCAGTGAGGGCTGCTGCAGAAAATCCTCTGGGATTTGGCCAGGCCTTGGCCAATCTCATAGAAGCCAGAAGGGCCCAATCGCGATTCCAGCTCGTTCTGATCACCCACGACGAGGCCTGGAAGTTCGTAGTTTTTGCAGATGCGCCCTTGAGGTGAAGGCACAGAGTCACTGGAACAAGAACTGCACATAGACCCGCGCATTGCCTTGTTGTGTAGCACAGCCGAGGCTTTTGTCAACCGCCTCGCGCAGCTTCAGGTGTGCGACTGGTTTTACCGCATTCACAAGGACGATGCTTGGAAGCAGTCTTGATGCGAAGTTTTGGTGACAACTCCTGGCAAAATCCCGGTCCAATTCAATTCTGATTCGAGCCTTGGGGTAAAACTAGGGTCTTGAAGTGCTGCTCGGCATTATTGTGTGAACTTCGAGCTCTGCAAGTTACTTCCATGCACCCCGGCCTTGACAACGCTGCATTCAAGGAGTCCGGATGTTCTAAGATTGAGAAGCAGCGAATTCAGCTTTTTGGCGACTAGAGTCCTTCAACGTCTGTCAAGGTTCTCCTTTGTGACATTAATGGACAGTTCAGGTCTGGAAGCATTTAATCGTAGGTGCAGTGCCGGGACAGTACAGAGTCATGGCACAATTCACTGCATGGGGCAGTGGTCTGCTTAGGTTAGGCTTAGTAGTCAGCAGCTGTCTCGATGAGCTTCCCAAGTCGGCATCCGCAGGATTGCCACAGGTCGGTTGACTGTCTGCAGCGCGCAGAAAATACCATGCCACCACTACTGATCACAGAAGCAGCCAGCGGAGAAGCCTAACGAAGCACCGCTATTGTTGATTGTGTCCCTGCCACCCGTTTTCAGGTATCTCACAAGATCGGGTATGGCCCGGAGCTTGGACAGCTAAAAAAAGCCCCAGAGTTCTGGAGTCGTTGATGAGGCCTCCGAAGCTGCCATGGCATTGAACTACAGCGTGTTTAATTGGGCGGTGGGATTCCCAGATACTCGAGTTTGGCATGGCTTATGGCTCTTTGCGCTAACGGAGAATTCTGACGAGATGGTCTTGAGCGCAAGAAATTTCCAGAGATAACCCGCATACTCGCCTCGCTAGCGAGGCTGGCATATTCCGGAGGTGTTGCTGGAACTACGGCATTTAGAACCGACTTGTAAGATGCAGAAACACTGCGAGGCCGTACACGGCCCCGGCGAATTCCATGGGCTTGGAACTTACGGTGGCTTGGGAAAATCTCTCTGCTCCTAAGGACGCAGGCGCACAAACACACGTGCGCAGCATGCACACTTCGCCGGGGGGGCATCCCGGCAGTCCCTTCGGGCCCGTTCTTCTTCCAGCATTGAGGCCGCACACTCACGTGGGCGAATACCACGTGGGGGTCTTTTATGCCCAGGTGGGTCACTTGCGTAGCAACAAGTGTGCGAGGCAGAGAAGTGGTTGACATGCACGTTGACACAAGCGCTGCCTGCATACGGTTCTATGTCCGAAACTCGCAAAACTTCTCAGAATCTTTTCCACTAGCACTGCTTTGCATCTTCAATCGCTTCATGGGCTCTTTCACTCGAGCTTGAACACCATGGCTGGCGGAACTGCGGCATCTTCGGTTGAGGCTTTGAGGAAGCGAGCATTGGCAGAGGCTCCCAGCCTATCTCCCAAACTGGAAACTGTGAAGGAGCTCCATGGATTAGGCGTCCTGTCGCCGCCGGATGTTTGCGTTTGTTACATTCTCCTCACACTCAGTTTGCGGCACGGAGATCGTCTGCTCGCTGGCTGGCGACGCCCACAGAAAGAGTCGCAAGACGTCCCACAGCAGCCTCCCCATTTCTCAGCGAGACTTTGCGATGAACGAGTCGACGGACTTATCGGGCAAGATGTCCTGAGCGAGCGATGTTTGGACAAATTGGGATTGACCAGAGACACGGCAACATTGAAAGACTTTGCCTGCAAGGCCCGCTTGCACAGAATCCCAGATTACGTATCAATATGCTTGGAAGAGTTCTACGCGGGTCGCAGGCCTTTGTGCTTGATCTACAGAATTCCTGAGCCACAGGAGTTGCTTGCCATGCAGGCAGATGGTGCCCGCTGTGTCAGTGCACTCACATCTAGGAGGTTGCTGTCGCAGGTTTACGGCCATCGGGACTGTTTAGACATGCTGCTGCACGATTTCGCTCACATGGAGAAGTTTGTGGAAGCTGGCCGTTTTTGGCAGCAAGTGGGCTTCTTTGAGTTTTTGCACGGCAGCGTAAGGGAAAGGCACGTGCACCACTGGCAGTCCTTTGGAAGGCGATGGGAGCTGTCTTGGTTTTATGTATCCTCCGACATGAATGCGGTGGCCAACCACATGTTTCTGACCCTCAAAGCGCAGCTAATGGTGGCAATGGCTCGCAGCATGCTGATGCAAGCTGGCCAACTGGATCAGGCTATTGATGACGCAGAGCAGGCAGAACTTGAGGCTGCCAAATCTGATGTGTACCCGAGGGCAAGCATGTCCCGATGGAAGCCGTTGCTGGAAGATGCCGGGCTCCTGTCCCAGTTTGAGGACTGGTTTAGCTTTGGCTTCAAATTGTGTCTTTGGTTACTGCATGTTTTCCACTTGCATAGAGAAGACCCTGTGACCAGGAGCATTTTGTCGAGGAATGGCGTCATGTGCTTTCCGTGCATGCAGCACGAGCTGAAGAGAAGTTTCCGGGCATCTTCGAACCCAACGAAGGACACGAGCAGCAGAAGCGGAGCAGAAGTATGCATACTAGCCACTTGTCCTAGCGCCAATCGCTCTCGTCCCAGCATGCATCCTGTGAATATACCCATCGGAAGCATGACCTCGTGGGTTCAATACAAGAGTAGACTTGAGCTTACATTATGCGCGAATTATCAGAGGTAGTGAGTCCGATGCCGCACCCATCGCATGCTGCTTCTCAGTGACCGTTTTCCGAAGCAGTGTTGATTGTTTCAAAACTTTCCGAGCTCTGGCCGGACATAAGCCGTAATCATGCTGTTCTGTCCAGGAGACCCGACGTCCGCTCAGTTCAGCTCATGGCCAAGACCAAGCCTGGACGATTTCATGCGGGCAGCAACGGAACCATCGTTGAACCCTGCTCGTTCAAACGTGCAAAGCTTAGCCAGTTCGTTCCGCATTTCTCGTGTCCAACACTTTCTGAGTTTTGCGCTGCCCTGTCTGATCGATGAGGCAGCCATCATCGCGCACTTTGACGAGCTGGGTCGGCGCAAACTACTATGCGCACGCAAAAGCTGTGCCAGAAGTGCGGTGACATAAGCCTGACATGTCAGTTAGCCATGATCGCACATGCGCAGCTCGTCGCAACATGTCACATGCAGGCCGGTGACAGTGCCGGAAAGTTGCGATTCGGCGATCCACGAGGCGTGCGACAACCGGATGTGTTTGGCTTTCGGATTTGCAGCCCCTCTTGCACAAGGGCACAGTCCGCCATTCGGCCGATCCTTCTTCCACTCTCCCAGGCCAGCACAGCGTCGGGATTTGGGTTGCGATATTGGTCGTACTTAACTCGTGATGAAAGATGAGTGCCCAATCTGGGAAGGTCCGGCGATCTAGTGTTCTTCCCGCTGCGAGCCCGGGCAATGAGTTCGAGCATTGCAAAGTTGCGGCGGACAGTCTGAGCGGGAGCGAGAGAGACATAGAAAGGGCGGAGACATGCAAAGGCAAAAGAAGGTACCCCTGGTACAAATCTGCGCCATGTCCGAAATCCTTCAAAAAGGTCTGGTCGAGGTTTCCACACCTCACTGCTAGGTTCGGGGTCTGTTGTCCTGCGCGATCCTGTGCTCAATTGAGAGTCATGCACGGTGCAAGCAGCACTTCGTGATCATTGCTTAGTACGGGCTGAGGCTCCCTCTGTGAATTCTGGTTTTCTTGTTTCTGAATTCAGGGGAGAAAGGTAGGCGTCGCTGGAGATTTGAATGTGTCAGTCGAGAGTAGGACGAAGAGGCTTTGCAAGGGTCTCGGACAAAGAGGTTTTGCAAGGGTCTCGTGCACCCATGTCCAGAGGACCATATGTCACCCGGTGCATGAGCAGCGGCTTTTTTTGGTCAGCTTGTGTAAGGCTAGGAAGCCTTGTATGGCACGATTCAAGCGAAGCAGAGGTTGAGGTGCTGGGAAGACTGGTGCTTTCCTTCGTTGAAGTCGCCACAGCCGTTGTAGGATGTACTGCGGAGTTTGCCATCATCCCTTTGAGTGTGCGTTTGAGCTCCTGGTTTGCGAGCATTTCCGTGAAGGTTCGGGGCTTGTGGCATCGATAGTTTTTAAGGATGTCAAACCAAAATCGTCGTCAAGTGTTGCTGTGCAAGCAGCACGTGCCGTCGGGTTCTGCACGTCTATCACCCACAGCCCACGAGCGCAGTGGGAAGATAGCAAAGCGCAAGCAGTGCATCTGTGTATGCCATACATGCCTTGTTATGCACCCGTAAAATCCGCCGATCGAACGTGGAAGTTTGCAGCATCCTACTACTCAGAGCTGCGCTGTATCTGCATCACATGCAAGGGGCACAGAGCAACTTACAGCGACCTCCTTGCCTTGTCTTACGTCCAAGATCCTTGCAGATACGTGGCCACGACCTAGTTGGTGAATTGTGTGACCTTGCCCGCCAGTTACTTGTTCCCACCCGCAGAAAACTCTTTGCATCCTGCAGAGCTTCATGCCTTTCCAATCGGGACTGCTCCTGAAAATGGTTCTCGGGATGCCTGTACTCTGCATGTACTGCATTGTGCACGGTTTCCCTTCTTCAGGGGAAATATGGTTATCGGCCTGAAAAAGGGGTTTTTACTTCCTAGAGTTTTTGCCACTTGCGGTGCAGATCAATGGTCTCGAGACGACTTGGATCTCCTGAGGGTCAGTCACAGCAAAGAGGGGTGGACGGGGGAGGCAGGGCCTTCGTGGCGTCTTGTAGGGGAAAGGCACAAACAAAGCTGGAACAAAAACTTGAACGTCAGCCAACACAAAGCTAAGAAGAAGCTAAACAGAAGCTGAACAACAAGTAACCAAAGTTGGCGACACATACATGTGCAAACGCACACGCACACGACGCGTTTGGATTTTTGTTGAGGTTTTTTGGAGCGTTCGCTCAACTTGCTTGAGCTGTTTTTCAGCTTCTTACAGCTTCATGACAGGGTTGTTTTGGCTTTTTCCTTGGGATCGAGTTTCAAAGTCGAGCCCTGCTCCCGTTCAGCCTTTGCAGCTTTGTTTTCAACAGTTGCTTCAGCATATCTTGAGCCGCAAGATCAGCCTCTCTCTGCCTGCCTTTCCTGTCCTATCCTGTTTTCCACACGCTGTTCCCAGCAGAGCAGTCTCTGACACGCATGTCTGATGTGGAAAGGTCCTGGCTCAGTCACATGGCCACAGTGACAGCTCCACAGTCGCGTTCTCGGAGTTATCCTGAGTCGTACTGATGAGTCGCTGAACTTTCTCAAGTCTAGAGAGGCATCTTTGCTTGTGCAAGGACAAACCCCACTTCCGGAGAAAGCCCACCATTGTGCGGCGTGCACGTTTAGAAGCACGAAGAGTCAGAGCTCACGACATGTAGTTTAAGTCAGCCGACAGCTCTAGCCTTTGAGCATTTGACTCTGTGTCTTTGATATCTGAGCGGATGACAGCAGCCAGGCGTGTTGTGTTCTCCTTCAACATAGGGCCAGTCCAGGGTCCGATGCCGCAGCAAACCCAGACGGCCCATGATGGCCTGCGTCAGATACTTCCCATGCTTTTCGCCGAATCGCTGAAGGTAGTTGTCGCTTAAAGCCTACATGTGTTGAAACGAAGCGCTGGACACACTGCACTAGCATCTCGTGCAGCCTGCAAGCAGGCATGTGGGTGCAGACATGACGTCTACGGGTTATGGAAGCCTTCACACATGTGGATCCATATGCTCAAACCCTGAGCCGCGCTAAACTGCAAGTACTTTACCTGCGGAGCATTGCCCGAATTCGCAAAGGGAGAGCACTAGCAAAGTCAGGGTGGATTGTCTTGCCAGAAGCCAAGCCGTGTCAAGACTTCTCTTTCTCGGATGGCATCTCGGCTCGGATCGTAAGAGCCCATCCAGATCATCTGAGCACTGCTCCGGTGCCCATGCCTCAGCTTCAATTGCCAATTGCAACAAGCACAGGCACATGTGTCTCATGTGTCTGTGTGGAAGCTTGCCATCTCCCAGGACTGGTGGCTTTGTCATGAGTCGAGCATCGTTGCTTCTGCTGCTGGCGCCATTGGTGCAGGCCCAGAAAGTGTCAGTGGACGACAGCGTGCAATTTAATTGCTTGTCTCCACTTCTTCGAACGAATGCTATCCATTGGGTGGTGCAGTAACTTGCGCACAATACCGCCCTCCTTTCGATACGCGATCGATTGCAATCCTTTACGACCCTGACGGCACGTAAGCGCAAATCACCCTTCGAATGGAGGTTGGGTACTGGCAGCCATAAGGGTCCCGCTCGCTCGTCTGGGCTCTTGTCGATCAAGTCTGATAGAACAAGATCGCAGAGAGGAAGGCCAACCGCGGTCGGCAGACTTTGTTCTCGGCGAGCGATGCTAAGCCGCTAAGCTTTCGGATTGGTTCGGCTTGAGTTCAACCTGCCCACCCTGTAAAGGCCCTATGGGACGCTCGAGGACTAAGTCAGGTGTAGGCCAGCGCGATCAGCCTGAATTGGTTCTTGCGTGCCTGCAACGGGGGGTGGGGGTGGGGGAAAGGGGGGCTGGAACTGCCCGCGCCATAAACAACTCGGGGTTGCCTCGTCATGTCGGCAGCTCAGAACGGATTGTTGCTCTCCTGCCTGTAGTGGCTCGAAGATTTCCAAAGCCATGGCCTTGACTGCTCGGCTCGGTTTGGTGCAGATGGAGGTCACGATGTTTACTTTACTCAGCGCCGTGATTTCCTCGTACTTCTTCGCAGCTGCACCTTGCCTCAACCGAGCGGTTTTCAGAGATGTGGCATTGAACCGAACCGAAGCAGACTTCTGTGGCATTGCCTCAACGATCTCAAGGATTGGCGCAAGTCAAGAGCCTTCGGACTTAGGACTTCAAATCTGAGCTAAGATTCTTTCGCCCTTCTCGTGGTTCGTTCCGGAGACTGCATAATATTTCGTGTTGAGGCAGCGCATGACATAGGCTGAAAAGGCACCAGCGGAGCACAACCTCTTAATGCCCTTCTGTCACGGTGCTGGCTGCACTTCTTTGACAAGCTTACCCTTCCTCTGTTGCAGTTTGGTGCAGTAAGGCACAGCTAGACCAACTTCACGCTTGTATCGAAGCTCTGCCCCAGTGTACCGCGGAGTTGTGGGCTACGAACCAATGCAGCGGTGCCACCAGCGAGGAGGAACTTAGCTTTGGCCTCTTGGGCAGCTGGATGAAGGAGTTGTATACACAAAAGGAGGAGCCTCGACTTGCAGACGATGCGGCTTTGCGTGCCGCAACATTGGATCGGTTGACGGCCTGGGCCGAGTACAGCTTGTCGCACGAGTCTCGGTTCAAGTTTGCCATTGGGCTGGGCCAGATGCTTTTTCTTTATTTTTGGTGGGGTGTGAGTTTTCCAGAGGCCGAGGAGGTTTCGAGTCGAAGCTTTGGACCGAACATTGACATAGCCGTCCTCTCCCTTCAGCTGCACAGAGCAAGTCTTCTGGAAGCTGGATGCTCCTCGCCCAGCACGGGGCAAGAAGACTTTGAGAAGCGAAAGTGTGCCTGGCGCTGGAGGTTCGTCTTGCTTCTGCAAGTGGAGCTGAGCAAAAAGTTGGCCACTGAAAGAGACATCCACGGTGCTTTGACGTACTTGCGACAGGCTGAAGAACAGCTTGACATCATGCGAGATCTTCCATTCTTCGCTGGGCACCAAAGCCTTCTCCCTGGCGAGGGCCCGTACAGAGTTAATCATAACGATGATTATCTTCCACACGCGAAGCACTGGCCAGTTTGGCCCCGCGAGGCTTGGCCCTCCTTTGCCCATTTCTTGGAGCAGCATGCTGATGTTTTTCGATCCGAGCTGTACCAGTTGGTCCTTGCCGACTCGGAGTATGACGAGATTTTTCGTACAGTCCAAGAGCAGCAGACTGAATTCACTCCTCTTCCGAGGGAGTGGGGCTTGCTAGATCTTGTTCGGCATGGCAAGGCCACGGCGGCTTGCCCATATGCTCCTCGCAGCTGTGGCTTGCTTGAAACTCGCCCAGAGATAAACTCGCACTGCTTCTCCGAGCGGATGCCCAATGCCGGCGTCGCTTTTGCACGCCTGCTCCCAGGCACGGAGATCAAGCCTCACTTCGCCACTGAACCCCGGCTTGCTGTTCACCTTGGCCTCATCACACCGCCTGGCCCAGAAATGTGGGTGGCAAATGAAACAGTGACGTGGTCGGAGGGGCAGGCAGTCGTCTTTGACGACACGTACTTTCACGGAGTACGCCACCTCGGCGACCAAGCACGATTCGTTCTGTTGGCCTGGATGTGCCACCCCTGCGACAGCGTGTGGCGAAGCAATGCCGGACTAGATCCGCAGGGGCCGCAACCAAAACACTGCACATAAATACTCTAAACATGACTTCTTGAAGCCTTTTGGCTGGAGCTGGATGGCACCACGTGGTGCAAGCGTGGAAGTGTTGTGCGATTGCGCTCATGCAGAGGACACGTAGGGCCGGACTCTACTCTTGCTTCACAAGGACTGCGCCGTTGAGGGGTCGGGAAGTCGGCTAACTTTGTATTGTCCAACTGGCAGTGACGCAACACATGCTGCAAGAATCGGGTCAAAAAGAGAGACGGTGTGCATCTGTATTTCTGCTGCTGCTGCCGCCTCGGCTGCTGCTTGTCAGTCCTATTCTGTTTCTAGCATGTCGCCAAAGAACTAACTGCCCAGTCGTTGCGCACGGTGGGATGCTGCCTGTCTCTACAGCAGGCAACGAAGCTGCTCAGCGCTGACTCACCCGAGTGCCCCTGCGCACAGAGCCTTGATAGCACTTCAATTGCAGTGACAGCAGCTCGCAGCTCGACGTCTCCCTTTTGCTTCGCCATCTTTCTCAGGAATGCAGCTGACTCGAGTGTTCGAGATGCCCACCAGGTAGTTCAAGTTGCATCGCTGGTCGGAATGCTAGAGCGTGATTCCCATCAGGCAGGACTCTCTTTGACACAACTGGGAAAACAGGTTCCGATGGCCAGATGCCAAGACACTCGATACACCTGGCAGAGTGAGTGTCCCACCTCTGGCCTTGAACATGGATGAACATGGCAATACGACTCAATACGACCAAACGTGCAGGCAGTTGGCTTCACGCCCCCTCCATTGCCTGACATCGAGGCAGCATCGATATGTAGAACATGTCTTTAGGTTTGGGCATGTCGGGGGCATCGGATCTTGTTTGCCGAGCCTTCAGAGGTGCCTCCGGCTGTGCCATTGCCAGCCTCGGGCACCGGCCCATGTGCGGGGGGATGAGGCTTCTCTAAAGCGGTCGATTGCCAATCTCTCTTTTCCAGGCCCGCCACCGCCGCCGCCTCCACCAGCTATTCCCTCACTTCCTCCTGTTCCAAATGTCGGCCCTGAGGACATTGAGCGGGTCAGGTGCAGTGAACATGCTGCTGGAACCGTGTTTCAGGACATCCCACTGCAGAGTATGGAAGGCGGGCGGTTCCGATAAGTTCGCTTTCATGTGTGCTCGTGGCGGCAGGGGAAAATACCAAGTCTTGGTACACGGTGCCTCCCAGCGTGGCTGCCATGGTGAACAGCACCGTGACACCGCGGAGTGCTCAGTTTGTGCTGCTGCAAGTTTGTCCTTGTGCCGAAGTGCTCTCAAGGTTGCCCATGGCATATCCTTCGGCTGCTGTTCCGGTCCGCCTTGCTTGGCTCTCTGTGATCGCTGCTAATGGTGGCTGCATCTGGCAAGGCAGCGCCGACAGCAAACGATCTCATGCCCAGGTGGGCCGTGTGGCAAACTACGTGAGATTCTTGTAGTGGAAGTGTTGAGTCTTGGATTGCGGCAGGTTCTTGCCAGCACCCGTGGTGCCTTCGCAGGTGCAGGCCGAGGCAAGCTTTATGCCACCTGAGCTCTTACTGTATCGGGGCTTCAGGATTTGCCTTGCCTGGCACAAGTTATTGTGCATTTTGGGGGCAGGCAATCCGGCACACACTGCAAAGCCACTGCCTGAGCAAGCTGGCATTCTTCCGACAGCATGGAGGGACCGTTTTGTTTTTGTGGGCATTGCGACATGACAGGATGGACTTGTTCTTTGGAGCCGTTTTGCCCCACCGGTTAATTAGGGATGGGATTGGTTCATCAATCCACTTGTTTGTAAGACATCCCGACGACATCCCACGTCATGCCGTGCTGACGTTGATGTTGGTTCTGATGGTGGTGGTCGTTTGCCTGTGAAGAGGAGTGGTCCTCGATCGCGTGTTGGTTGCCCAGAGGGTGGTTGCCATGAAGCAACAGACATGGATGAAACCCACGGAGGCCGTCGAGACGCAGATAGCTTGACGATGATTTTGGTGCGATGATGATGATGATGACGTTGATGGTGATGATGATGGTGGTAATACTAATAAGGAGGAGGATGATGAAGCATCTCGGCGCGAACTTCCCCACAGACCGCTGCTCCTACCGATCATTACCCTCCTCTTGTACGCAGACGTTGGTGCTCTGCTCCTATAGGATCCCATGGAAAACTGTTGAGAGCAAACCAGGCATTTCTGCTCCTCCATTTTGGGAAAAATGTCGTGGACCATCGATCCTGGAACCGGGTTTTACGACGTGCAGAACAGGGCCTTTCGGATGGAGGGCCTCGAAAAGACACTGCAGCCAATCTACACCACGCTCTGCGAAGCAACGCAAATCATGGAAGCACTATACCAACTAACCACTCGAACTTCGCACCATTGAGCGATATTGCGGGTGCAATGGACTGGTCAAGCACAGTTTCACCAAGTCCATTGCTTCAACAAAAAGCTCAACTGTGCTCCACAGATAAGTAGCTTGACGATGCGAAGGTTTTGGTGCACTAATTACGTAATCATTACTTATCTCGTGACGTGGTTGGGCTTTCGCTGTGCTGGCCTGAGCCTGGCTTTTGGTGAATGTACATTCGCGCGGGATAGCATCGCGACAGCCACAACCTCCCCACCACAGATACATGCCAAGCATCACAACCCCCCTTTCCTCCGCATGCGCAACAGGGGAAGAGCAATGGTTGGAGACTAAGTACATGGTCATGACTCGTGAAGGCATTCAACTGGGGCATCATGCATGCAACTGGACCCGCTTTTACAATCTGTCGACTGGCGATGTCGCAAGCGATCTCAAAATGCATTCTATGGTTTGAATTCTTGGGCAACGCTGTTCGATTTTGTTTTTGCTAGATTCCACTTACTTGTCAAGTCGCGTAGCATAACTACGGTGTGCGTGCTCTGTCAGGATGTACTATGGCTTATCAGGGCGGCAACCTTGCCTGTCCTCCAGATTTGCCAAGCTTAGGCGTTGGATATACGCAGCCAACACGGAGCCACACAGATAGTGACGGCGATGATGATTCTGATGCTTCGGGCGATTAGGATGATCAGGATGAAAGAGGATGATCAGGATGAGTAAGAAGATTAAGAGGATTGGCGGCGGCAATGCCAGCGATGGTACTGGTGATGGTACTGGTGATGAATGTGCTGATGGTTTTCATGCAGTTATGAGCTGTGGGATTCGTTGTTGATGTTGATGTGGCCTATTTGGAGGTTGACCTTGTTGTTGCATTTGACATGAATGTGCGGGATATTAGCCGCTGCTGAAGATGCTAATGAGGGCAAGGGCAAGGGAGGCGAGGGTGGGGGACGGGAGGGACGGGAAGGAGGGGTGGGGGGAGGGGAGGGAGGAGGGGGAGGGAGGGAGGGGGAGGGCAGGGCAGGGAGGTAAGGGTAGTGAAGGAAAGGGAGCGGAGAGGGGCTGATGTCTGTTGGTGGCGATGTCAACGACGATGATGACTTGGACGAAGCCGGCATGATGCAATGACGTGGACGACGGTGCCGATGACGACGTTTGTCATCATGCCGATGATGAAGGTAGCGATGATCATTAATGCCTTGATTGCGGTGGTGACGGTGACGACATTCATTTTGGTGTGACGATCGCAGGGCTCTTGATGATGTTCATGATGTTTCTGATGTGGACGCTGATGCTATCACTGATTGATGTGGCCTCGGTAGACGAGGGGCTGACGAAGACAATGGTGTCGTTAATGGCCATGATGATGAGGTGGCACGACGACGATGCTTTCAATGGCGAAAATCGCCACGATGTGTTCGAGATGTTGCCGGTCATAGTTTTTTGGTCGGTGATGATGATGATGACGATGGTGTTTTGCATGGTCATGATGACGAGAGTGTGCAATGCAGCTTTCCTGCTAACATTCATGCGAGTGTACAGTATACGTCTCTATCATTACGACGACAACTTCTAATAGACGGCGACGACCGCCACCACCACCACTACCGCTACTACGCCACTGCCGCTGCCACTAGCGCTACCACCACTACTAGCACTAGCACCAGCACCAGCACCAGCACCAGAAACAGCACCAGCACCAGCACCAGCACGAGCACGAGCACTAGCACCACCACGACCGTTACCACTACCACTACTCCCCTACCACTACTGTTTCTGCCAATGCAGCAGCAACAAGTACGTCTGCAACTCCTACTGCTACTATTATTATTATTATTACTACTACTACTACTACTACTACTACTACTACGACTACTTACAGCACTGCCACAGCAGCGATTATTGTTATCGTTTTTGTGACAACGGCAACGATGACTACTGCGACTTCTTGTACTATTGTTCCTGCGACGACGACTGCTACTACGACTGAAACTGCTGCTGCTGCTGCTGCTGCTACTACTACTACTACAACTACCACTACTACTACGACAACTACTTCTGCTGCTACTCCCTCTGCTACTCCTTCTGCTACTACTGCTACTACTACTACTACTACTACTACTACTCCTACTGCTACTACAACTACTACTATGGCTACAACAACAACAACTACTACTACTACTACTACTACTGCTACTGCTACTACTGCTACTACTACTACTACTACTACTACCACTACTACTACTACCACTACTACTACCACTACTGCTACCACTACTACTACCACTACTACTACCACTACCACTGCTGCTACTACTACTACTACTACTACTACTACTTCGTGCTGCCGCTGCTGCTGCTGTCAGCTGCGGGGGTAAGGCTCTTTACTGTCAAGCATTGCTGCTGCTGCTTCGAGCATGCATGAGAAATATATATCATAGGCAAGGAGCAGCAAAGCCGCTGCAGAAGCAGCCGCCAAGGACAAAGAGGAAACCTGAACCACATGAGAGCTTGCCGTGCTGCCGTTTTGTTGCAGCCCTGAGCCCGGCCTAGTGCTGGCCGCTGTTCACTGGCATTTGCCATAGACGCTTGCTTGCTCTCCTGCCATGCAATGCGCTTAGAGGCCACAAAAGAAGCTGCGGCTTGAAAAAGGCAACAATCACAGCGAATGTCCGGCCTTACTTTGCGAGAGCTGGACGCCGGCAATGCCAGCCTGAAGTTTCACATCGACTCAAACCGAGTCATGAACAGAGCACAACAAGTACAACTCCCGAATCACCGATCTTCTGCACAACATGAAACCGTTTCTGAAGTGGGCTGTAACCCTGATAAGCAGTTTTGCTGTTGCTGTCGGGCAGCGGCCATTACAGCTATCGCCAGCCAGGCTGATCTCACCAAGCGCTTGTCCAGAAGCATTACCGAGAGCCCGGCCATGACCAGCCTAGCGGCACACAAATTCGTGCACCGTTACCACTCTGGGGCAGGTGCTGCTGCGCGTACCAGAGCTCGTACAAGAAGCAGGCAGCAGCGGCGTTAGTTAATAGTCAGTGGCTGTGATAGTGGCACTGGTAGTGGTAGAGCTACAGTAGTGCGAGTGCTTGTGGCAGTCTCGGTGGTGGTGGTGGTGGTGGTGGTGGTGGTGGTGGTGGTGGTGGTCGTAGTAGTGGTGGTCGTAGT